TCTCTCTCTCTCTCTCTCTCTCTCTCTCTCTCTCTCTCTCTCTCTCTGTATGTGTGTGTGTGTGTATCTCTCCCTCCCCCTCTCTCCTAGAATCCCTCTAGCTTCCCTCCTGCCTCATCCCAGGCATTCTTCAGAGTCCACCATCTGGTGACACTCCTGTGACATTTTCCCTAAGCTCTGGCCACCGTGGGCCTCCATCCACATCCCTGAGCTCTGCAGCTCCATCCTCACAAAGCTGATGTGACATTGCACTGTCATTTACTCTGGCAGCCCCATGGCCCTCGAGGGACCGCAAGACCCTGGAGTACAGGACTCTCCTCACCTTTTCCACCGTGAGGCATGAAAGCCCACATACACGGCATGCTATTAGAACGATATAAACACATACACCCACCCATGCACGTACAGGCCTCTGAGACACCCTGAGAAGGGGCTGGTTTAAGCAATCTCTCTCTCCCCACAAAGCAATGAGGAAAAGGGAGCCTTGGTGGGCGAGGACATAGGTTCTTAGGAAGACAGTGTGTGGAATACAACAGTTAGCCATGGTGGAACCAGGGCCAAAAGCCAAATGTCCTGACTCTCAGGGATCCCTGGTACCCCTGACTTCATTGAGTGTTCCCGTTTCAGGGCAGTGAAGGGATTCGAGGTCCCTCAGGTTTGCCTGGTTCTCCCGGGCCACCAGGCCCTCCCGGGATTCAGGTGAGTGTGTGCCCTTTGGGCCCGATGGTATGGAGAATGGAGTACCTGTGTGAGTGTGCACGGTGTGATGCAGTGAGCTGGGTAAGAGGTGGAGACAGCCATGGGCGGGGTCAGACTTCTCTCTTAAGCGCTAGAGCAGCATTTCTTTTGTGTGCAGGGCCCTGCCGGGCTGGACGGACTGGATGGGAAGGACGGCAAGCCTGGCCTGAGGGTAAGATGGGGCTGGATGGGAGGCAGAAGCCCTCTCCTCCTGATGAGGTGAGCTGAGGGGTCGCCCTTCGATCCGAGTATCCACTTCGATCCGGGTATCCGAGTCTCCTCCCAGCTGGCATCAGTCTCCTCCGGTCTCTCACCTCTCATAAACTTAGCCAGGCTGAGCGAATTGGTCTCACTGAAGGCAGGATGGTGACAGAGATCCCACTTAGATCCCCAAACCCGGACAGCTGGAGAAAGTAGGCTGTATTCTGGAAAGAATAAGGCTGTACTCATGACAGGCCTGAGCAGGCCCTGGCTCCTTGGTTGGGTTTTTTTCTGGGCAATCAGAGAAATGGGAATGTGGCAAAGGGGGAACTATCAAGGTCATTTCCCATCCTTAACCAAAAGAAACAAAACCAAGGCCCACAGAGGGGCTGGGACCCGTTCACAGTCCCCAGCCAGTCAGACACTGAGCCAGGCTGAGATTTTTCTCTCTGCCTCATCTAAGGTTCCCAGCAAATCCTGGTAATGGAGATCAGAAGCAGGGTGGGCTGGAGAGCGAGCGGGTCAAGGCTGAATCAAACCTCCTCAGTGCTCCCTTTTCTTTCCCTAGGGGGACCCAGGTCCCGCTGGCCCTCCTGGACTCATGGGACCTCCAGTAAGTTGGGTTGAAGGAAGGAGCCGGGGGCTCTGAGCCCCCTCCAGCTCTCCTCAGAGCCTCTGTGTCCTCCTGCTATGGCTGCAATAGACTGCATAGATACAGCCTGAGGAGGGCGGGGGTGCGCATCTCAGGTAGAGGTGAGAGATACCACATCTCCCTGCTTCTCCTTCCAGGGCTTCAAGGGGAAAACAGGGCATCCCGGCCTCCCTGGGCCTAAGGTAAGGAGGCCTTCTGCTCCACAGGCTTCCTCATTCTCTTCAGGCCCAACACCAAAGCGGCCCACCCTGGGTTTAGACTGCCACCCGACTGCTGGCTGAGATGTTACTCCAGCATCCTAGCTTCCTGAGGGCCCAGCAGACTGGTCAGGGTGCTGACACCCACCAGCTGAAGGGTATCAGAGGCCCTCTGGCCAAAGCCAGGGCATGATGGCAGAGCCCTCTTGATCTAGGGTCAACGTGGGGTCTGGAGATAAACTACACTGTCACCCTTCTCTTTTAGGGTGACTGTGGAAAACCAGGTCCTCCTGGCAGCAGTGGCCGGCCGGGTGCAGAGGTAAGGACTGGGGTTCTATGGTCACATAGCCTTGGGCTCCACTAAGTCTGAGGTGTAGCCTCTCTCCTGCATTAGAGTGGCTGCCTTCTCTCCTCAGCCTTCTGACGTGAAATTTCACCCGACACTGCACATCTTGACTGTTCTTCATCTGGACAGTTATAACTGGTCCCCTCCCTAAGAACACAATTGGACAGCCACCCAAAAGGCATCCCTGGCCTTTAAGCCCTGGAAGGCTAGAGTCTAGAGTTCAGAGCTCTGTCCAGCCCTCTGGCCATTGCTCCATGCCGCCACAAGCTCTGCTCATCTCTCTCCTACAAAGCAGTCGCAGGTGTGCAGGTTAGTGAGTTTCTATGTCACCTCTTTCCTTCTAATCCTGCAGGGTGAGCCCGGTGCCATGGGACCCCAAGGACGACCAGGACCCCCAGGGCATCTTGTAAGTTAAACTGTTCTTGTCTCTGTTTCTACGAACTAGGATGTCACTGGGGGATGTGGTTAGCTCGTGGTGGCCACAGGAGCCACGCTATGTGATGTGAGGGCTTTGGAATCATCTAATTAAGTAGCTTTTACTTTACAACACTTTTTGGGTTTTCCAGGCACATTCATGTTTGCTTACCAGACACAAGTCATTCAGTCAGTCAATAAATAATTATTGACCATCTGCTCCAAGTCAGAGCCACAGCACGGAGCCAGCTAGACAAGGGTCCTTGCCCCACAGGACCTCCCCACAGGCACAGGAAACAAGTGGATAAGAAAGGTTCAAGGGATGAAGTGATGTCACAGGGAAGAACTGGGGGGAGCCTCAGGGCAGCGTTTCTCTACCTGTGGGTCACAACCCCTTTGGGGGAGTCAGGCATCAGATATCCTGGATATCGGATATCTACATTCCAATTCATAACAGCGGCAAAATTACAGTTATAGGTTAAAAATGAAAATCACTTCATGGTTGGGGGTCACCACGGCCTGAGGAACTAGGTTAAAGGGTTGCACAGTGCAGTACTGGGGAGGTTGAGAACTGCTCGCTGCCTTACCGGATTCCTGGCTGGAGAAATGGCTTCACTGAGACCTCAGGAAAGGAAGAAGTCAGCTCTTGAGTAGCCTGGGACAAGAGTCCCAGGCAGAAGGGACACTGACACATAGAACCAAAAGCAGCCAGGTGCTTGGCTTTCTGAGGGGACCTCAAGAAATCTATCACGCTGGGCATGGGGATAGCTTGAGACACGCACGTGGGACCAGAAATGCTGAGCTTCAAAAAAGACACCTCATGGGGCAGGCTCACTCAGGGAAGGGCTGGCAAGAGGTGGGTGTGTGGGTGGTGGGGAGGGAGAGGGGACAGAGGGCTCAGGGGATCTGGCATGTGCTTGGGGGCAGGGGTGCTTGGTCCCTTAGTCTGAAGTGAGCGAGTGAGGGCTGAGAGGGGGCAGGAAGTGCTTTTACTCTTAGGGTGAATCAGAGAGAGCACTTATTAGCAATATTGCATCTCCTATCCGCTTTTTTCCCCAGTGACAGTGTGGCTGTGGCAACATCAAGCTAATAGGGCTCCAGAGAAAGTGAACCCACTCTACGCTAGTATAACATGGCTATATAGTGTTCGGGAGGCATTTGGGGACATTAAAAGTACTTCATGACAAATGAAAAGCAAGGGCAGGGGACTCTCAGGTCCCCGTTTTTATGTATCTCAAGGAGATCAGAGAACCTGTTCTGGGGACCTCAGGTCCCCAGTAGAGACTCATAGGGGCTGTGGATGAGGCCCTACTGGGTTCCTCCTGTCACTGTTGTGTCCAGCCTAAGCCCCCTGCTCTGCACTGGTCCCAGCGATGAACAGTCCCACCCCAGGAGTCTTACAGGAGTAGCATAGGGGCCATGGCCCAAAGTGTTCCGGGAAGGGGTGTAAAGAAATATGCTCTGTGAAAGAGCTGAGCGCTCATGGTTCAGAGTAGGTGTTGCTCTGGTGAACAGGTGACCTCTGGACTGTGGATATTTAGATACAGTCCCAGCAGTGTCAGGAAGTGACATCCCAGCGGGTTAGCATGTCACCGCTCCCCCAGGGGAGGAGCCACAATACGTTCCCTTGTGGGTGTTGGATCAGCCTTTTGTCTGCCCCAAACATCTTCCCCTTCTTTGATATGGCAAAGGGCGTTGGAGATGCCAGGGGTCCCTTCTGTGGCTGTGGGTGGTAGGGGAGATGGTCTTTGATACGATACATACGGTCCCTGCCCCTGGTACCTACAGACCCCTGCTGTGTAGACACTTTCCAATAAAACAGTAGGATGCTGTTCTACCTTTAGGAAGCATAGGATCTTGGAAGATACCCAGGCTAGTAGTTTGTTCTCTCCTGCCTTTGGTCTTTGCGCCCCACAAGCCCGGGAGCATCACTCAGTGAGCACTGGACACAGTATCCTGGGTATTCAGTCCCTCCCTACCTCTGCTCCAGAACCAGAGCTCAACCAGGAGTTCAAGGGTAAGATCAGAAAGGAAGGACAGATTTCAGGAAGAGAGGAAAGCTAATAATGCAGTGTAGGAATGCTGCTGCCTAACCACCCTCTCCTCTCCTCAGGGGCCACAGGGGCCTCCCGGCCAGCCAGGTCCACCTGGGATCTCCACTGTGGTGAGTGACCTTCTACCACTTACTCTAAGGAATATTGCCGTTTCTGCTATGGGATTCTTCCAGACCAAGCCAAAGGGATGAAGAAATGACTTGTTTTCATTCCCTTCCTTGGTCCTCTGTCCTAAAGATCTGTCTTCTGGGATGAGGCAAAGGGCTTGGGAAGTAGCTCAAGGCCATCCTAGGGCCGCAGCATAGGCACAGACATGCTGTCCGCTCCTGTGGGTCCCGGCCACAGAAACATGGCGAGGGGTCTGGCTTTGTGCCCTCTGCTTCTCCTTCTCTCCAGCAACCTTCATTCTGCTTTTTAGGGCCTGAAAGGAGATCGAGGAACCCCTGGAGAAAGGGGCTTGGCAGGCCTCCCAGGCCAGCCTGGCACACCCGGACACCCCGGCCCTCCAGTAAGATCCCACCTCCTATAGCCCAGCCCAGGGGAAAGGATCCTTTGGCTTTGCACAGTACACCTGGAGTCTTTAGAGAAGGAGAGGGGGTTAGCATAGCAGGGTGACAGCATCTGGGGATTGTATTGTATTCAGAAGGGCCAGCCCTGTAAGCCGGCACTGAGCCAGCTGCACACAAGGGCATACTACCTCTGAAGACACACCGCCAACCCGATATAGGTCCCTTGACAAGGTGTCAGCGAGAGAAGCCTTGGTCCATGTGTTGCCCCTGTCTCTGCCCCTGCCCCTGCCCCTGCCCCAGTAGAGCTTGTCAGTAACTACAGAAAGTCTTTGAAAATATCAAGAACCAGAAATACAGAGCTATTACTGTAACTTTCTGAGCTCCTCGGAAGCAGACTTGATCCAGCCCATTTAGAATTCAGAGTGGTGCTGTGTTGGTCACTCACTGTGCCGAAGTGAGCCTTAGCTTAGGCTGGGTGTGTGTTTTGTCTTAATGTGTTCTGCAACAAAGTTTGGAAGTACAGTTGTCCCCTGGGCTTTGAGATGAGGAAGTGAGGGAGGGTTCAGGGTGGCTGAGAATCACACAGCTAGTGAAGGGAGCTGAGACTTGATTCCCCAGCTTGTTCCGTTGCAGATTTTGAACTCCTCGGTCAACCTGCAAGGCATCCATCTCTTCTGTAGAGATCTAGATGGGCAAACCATATGGGGTTGAGCTAATTTCTGGCCTCAGGGATGTAAAGTTTCTGGGAAGCCAAGGAAAAGGGTTCAGGTCTCTGTGACAGGGGATTTCCTACAAAACAGATTTTCTTCCAGAGCACGGTAGCAAGCTAGGGCTGGTAGTGGTCCCCAATGTGATGGATGACTCCAGTCATGTGTGCATGGGGTCAGGGGTCAGCACTTCTGCTCACCCTGAACTCTGCTTACCGTCCCTGAGGATGCTCGCCCCTTTCAGCCTCCCTCTCTCCCCACAGACTGGGGAGCTGCCAGGGCCCTAGATGTGTCTACCCCTTGTCCTGGTGTCACAGATTTCTCTGCTCCAGTAGCCCACCAGAAAGAGCCCTGGGTGGGGGCTCAGAGATGAACAGCTTCTGTTGTGGTGTCATGGGGAAGGAAGGTCAGCCTGTCCTGGCTAGTCTCACTGAGGACAGAGGCTCACAGAGGTCCTTCAGCAAACATTTAACGCACTCAGAGCCAGGAAATGCATACAGTTCTCAAGAAAAGGCACCTTGCTCCAGCTCACGCATGCTGGGGGTGGGGCAGGATCATGGCTCTGCGGTGGCACAGAGCAGGACAGGGTGTGTGGCCTGAGAGGCCGTGTTGGATGACAGCTCATCATGTTTCCAATGCTCTCTGCTCCCCAGGGTGAACCTGGTTCGGACGGTGCAGCTGGCAAAGAGGTATAGTGTCCCTTCTCTCTGTCCCTTGGGGACATTCCTTCTTGGTCCTCACTGTGTTCCGTCCCCCATCCCCACAGTAACCACACCACGTGGGCACAGACTACCTCCTACAGACACTATACCCACAGTTTCCACATCAAGAAACTCAATCACAGGTTGATTGTAAATATTCAGGGGCCGGGCGGTGGTGGCGCACTCCTTTAATCCCAGCACTTGGGAGGCAGAGGCAGGCGGATTTCTGAGTTCGAGGCCAGCCTGGTCTAGAGTGAGTTCCAGGACAGCCAGGACTACACAGAGAAATACTATCTGGAAAAACCAAAAAAAAAAAAAAAAAAAAAAAAGGGAAAGAAAATATTCAGGGAAAATTTGCAGGTGTACTGAATATAGACAAACTTTTTTTTTTTTTTTTTGAGACGTTGTACCCAGGCAGGCCTGGAACTTTATAGCCCAAACTGGCCTCAAACTTACTTCCTGCGTTAGCCTCCTGAGCTCACAGGGGTGTGCCACCACCCCTGGCTCCCTTTCTTCTTCCTCCTCCCTGTTCTTCTTCTTTCTTTTCCTCCCCCTCCTCCTGCTTCCCCCTCCTCCTCCTGCTTCCCCCTCCTCCTCTCCCTCCTCCTCCTGCTTCCCCCTCCTCCTCTCCCTCCCCTTCTCACTATTCCCTAAGGGATACGTTTGACACTCTGTGGCATTTGCACTGTGGTAGCTGTTGTTATGTAATTAGAGGTGATGTAAACCACACAGACAGATACATTTAGGATATAGTCAAGCATCACACCATTTTACTAATGAGAGCGGAGACACATTTGGGGATCCATGGGGATCCTGGAACCAGTCCCCTACAGATACCAAGTGCCCACTGCATGCAACAAGTTGGTATCTCTTGTTGGTCTAATGGAATTAGGGGTCTCTACTTCTAGTCAGAAAGAGACAATAACGATGACAAACTCCAAACAAAGGCTCCCTGGGCCCCAGCTCCTGCCAGGCCCTCGGCTATTTCAGACTGGCCACTCATTCTGACTTCTGTCACATCTGTGATGAGGGACCAGGCCAACACTATCAAACAAGGCCATGCCCCAGGGGACATCAGCCTCCCTCCCAGCTGTCAGCTCCTCTGCTTGGTAGGGAAGCTGTCATCCTTTGTCACACAGCCCAGCTGGACACAACCAGGACCTTAGGGTGGGTGAAAGTGGTTTTCCCATTCCACCTGATCCACCCCCACCCTAGGGAGCCTCAGTGGAGCTGCCCAGACAAGACCATAAACTTCTGGTTTTTGTTTCTGTTTTTGTTTTTGTTTTTTTTATAGGGACCTCCTGGAAAGCAGGGACTCTATGGACCTCCCGGCCCAAAGGTGAGGGTGCACTGGCTGGGGTTGAGAAGAGGTATTCGGGAACTCCAAGCTGCAACTGTAGCAACAGAGGAAGCCTAGGGTGTCCAATGGGCAGGAAAGCCCATGTGATCTCACCTGGGGCTGTCCCATCTATGGCTCTGGGAATGGAAACCTCTTTCATCCCCTAATGACTGCTCACTCTGGTTCACTCCATGGCCTCTCTGTGTTGGTCTGGGGTAAACAGAAGCCCCTGAACTCCCGGTGCCTAGTCACCATGACACTAGAGTGCAGCACATTTTGAAGAAATGGTGTGAGACCCAGGAAGTCGGGGAAAGGCACACATGGGATAGGAATGTTTCCACAGAGGGGGACTCATTGGGGTGCCAAGGCTGGGGAGGGGCATTCCAGACAGCAGATTCAAGCAACATGGTAGAACCAGAGTGACAGGTAGCTGGAGCTGACAAGACGAGGCTGAGGAAGGTGTGAGGAGGGCATTATGAATGGTCATGGGCAAGGAAGGGGCACTTCCTACTGAGGGCATGTGGGAGCCATGAGCATTTCCCAGCATTCTGAGTGGTGCCAGCACTGCCTTCCAGAAGCACTGGTCTAGGAGGTGGTGAGGCCGGGGCCTGTATCATTGTGACTGTAGCCCAGCAGAAGATGCTGGGCACTTAGGGAAAGGGCAGGCTGCTGACACATTGTGACATAGACTTGGAAACAGTTGGTAATACTGTACTGTGTGACCTGTCCTTGTAGGGTGACCCAGGACCTGCAGGACAGAAGGGCCAAGCTGGAGAAAAGGGAAGATCTGGCATGCCTGGGGGGCCTGGCAAGAGCGGCTCCATGGGACCTATCGGACCACCGGGTCCTGCAGGAGAGAGAGGCCACCCTGGGTCCCCAGGGCCTGCAGGGAACCCTGGATTGCCTGGTTTGCCGGGCTCAATGGTAAGGGGAAGCCAGTAATCATGGATGGGCACCATCCCATAGTACAGGCCCATGGTCACTTTAGCAAATCCTTCTGACATTCTGCAGGCAACAGCTTGACTACAGGTAGCGCCTAGTTCTTCATGGGGGAAGTGGGGAGCTACAGGCGTCCCTCCCACCCCAGACGTATTTTAGCATACGACATGTATTGTTTCAGGGCGGGTAGCACTTTGGATTAAGACTCTACAAGACACGCTGAGGGCCTTTGCCCTCTTTGCCATCCTTTATTTCTGGAAATCAAGTCTATTTGCTGGGCAAGTGCCAAGTTTGGACGTATGATTGAGGCCAGGTTTCTTCTCTTTCCTCAGGGAGACATGGTGAATTATGATGATATCAAGAGGTTTATCAGACAAGAGATCATTAAACTGTTTGATGGTAATTGGCAGCCGGCTGGGCGGCGGTGGGTAATGCTCGCCCTTCCCAGACATTTCTTCACCCAGCCCTGCCTGCAGTTTCCTTGCGGCTTCCGTGTCCTCCCCTTCCCACCCCCACACATTTACAGACAGCAGGGTGACAGGCACATTTCACCTATCCATCAGACCTTCCTTGTCACCTGCTCTACTTAGAGATAAATCGGTTCTCTATTGTCCTCCGATCCCCCACTTGAGCAAAGAAGGTTAAGAAAGCAGATTTCAAATGAGCCTCTGTGGAGGGAGCTCTGGGGAGAGGTGGAAGCAGCAGGTGGAAGGGCAGCTGTGGTTTCTTTGAAGTTTTTCTTTCCTGCTTGTGTGCTATGGACCAGGGTGGGGGCGTGGGGGGTTGGGGGTGGGGTGTGTGTGTGGGGTGGGGAACCTGGACGCTGGGCATCCTGCTTGGCAGAGAGATTAGTCCGGACCATACTCTGAGGCCAGGGGGGAAGGTTAGACGAAAGAGATGCCAAGATCAGATCTGTGCTTCTGAAAGATCTGCATGGGAAGGCATGTGCAGGCTACAGTACAAGGCCTCCTTCAGGAGAACAGCCCATATTCCCCATCAAAGGCTGTCCCATGCTGGTGGCATATCTACAGCATCTGCAGCACTCTGAGTACCCAGTGACCTGGCCTTTGTCTGCTTGCAGAGAGGATGGCTTACTACACCTCCAGGATGCAGTTCCCCATGGAGGTGGCAGCAGCTCCAGGCCGACCAGGGCCTCCGGGGAAGGACGGTGCTCCAGGGCGGCCAGGTGCTCCAGGGTCACCCGGGCTCCCTGGTCAGATAGGCCGAGAAGGACGCCAGGGTTTGCCAGGAATGAGAGGTAGCTCTACCTTCTGGGTCTCCAGGGTGTCGGGCATACGCACCTCTATGAGGGCTGATTGTGTGAACCTGGTGGTGGTGGTGGTTGTGTGTGTTGCAATCCACACAGCTGTTCTTTTCCTGCTTAGAGAAGAGACTTGACTTTATTTCTTTTGTCTTAGGACTGCCTGGTACCAAAGGTGAAAAGGGAGACATCGGTGTTGGCATTGCAGGAGAAAATGGTCTCCCTGGCCCTCCAGGTAGGAGAATCCAGTCTTGAAGACTATGAATCCAGAATAGGAGAGCTCCTACCCAACACACACACACACACACACACACACACACACACACACACACACACAC